TAGTTGCCAAAGTCAAAGATTGTCTTGGAGAAAAAAGCTCGTTTGTTTTCAAAATCGGTGATCGTTAATTTTATGATTGGAATACAATACAGACAAATTACAAAATGGCGCAAAAAAATTTTCCAGGAGGAATGTTCTAGCAAAAGACAACAAAAACATACTGTCACTTGAATTTGTCTACGTTGTGTTTTTAATATGTCTGTGCAAAAAATAACCTGGCTTTTCTACAGACGGGTTAAGATTAAGACATATGTTTTAGATGCATTTGTTTCGGAGATATATTGCTGTTCATATCTTCAGGTTTGTTTTTCTTTTTGGTCCACCCTGTATTTTTGATTCCCCCTTATATTTTACTATATAGAGTCATAAACTGGCTTCTGATGTATACAATATTTTTTCCTTGCATTATTCGCGAAATTATTCTCACGGATTTTTCACCAGCGTTATTTGATTTAAAAAATGGATATACCGTCCATATTTATATATATATTTGTCAGCACACACGCACACACACAAAAATTAGAGGGCGGAGGGAAAATATATTTAATTCTGCGAAGAAAAAGATCCCGACCTGCTGGACAATCATAAAATAACTGAACAAAGATTAAAGCTCATCCCACCTGACGTAATAAGCTTCTCAGCGGTTTCGGGGACGAGGGGAGCAGGGATTAATTTATTTTATAAAATCCTTTTTTTCATATATTTAATATAAAAAAAAGAAACGATGGGAAAACGGATGCCTCCCCCTCCCTCTCCTGGCTTCCTCAGCAACTGCACTCAGGCGCTGCTGCTGATGCTGCTGGAACAAAGAGCTGGTGTTAATGACCGACCGGTGTTCACCTTGAAAAGCCTCTGCACACTTGCTTTGGCTTTCCTGGCTTTTCCTCGCATTTCCCGCCACTGGTGTAGGAGTTCGGGTTACAAGTCTTTGCACAAAGTCTTTTGTGGGAAAAAGAGCTCGAGTTGGTGAAGAAATTTTTGTCAAGACTCCACCAACACCTTTTTATGCCTAGCTGCACTGTTTTATCGGGTTATTCGGGGTCATCGAAAGGTAGGAAAATTGAGGTACAATTATTATTCAGGCCTAATTCCGTTGGTGATTAACTTTCCAGCTACCAGAGAGAACAAAACGTCTGATCGATCAATTTTTTTTTTCGAAATTTATTTTAAACTCAGCCTGCTGTGTTAAACCATCGTTTGAAAATTCAAGGGTGAGGATGTCGATTATTTGCTTTTTCCCCACTGCAATCGCCTCAAAATTCTGAAATTTTGCGCATCGTCATGAAGAAGTGGTGACGTTGAAAGTGTTCGACGAATTTGAATGTGTTCTGGCCATGAGAATATGCCACAAGATGTCCTAGATGCTAAGATTTTATTCATGAATATTAATTCTTCTTTCCATCGTGAGTCCTTTTGAAGAATTCGAATCTTTTCAAGCTCTCGTCAGGTTTCAAAGATGATTTTAAAATGCTACATTAACAAATGCAAGGATTTCTTGAGAACGTTTATGAGAATTTAATGTTAGAAGTCTACAGCTTTGAATTGAAAAATTTTTAAGGATTTTTTCCGAAGGGAATCTTCTTTCTATCGAAGGATGTCTGGGGACCCATAGGAATACTGTAATTTTAAAACGAAATGCTCTACATGCATTAATTATGGAGCATAAACAGATTTCAAATATATACACGAGACATCCTTGTATTGAAATAAATCAGCTCAAAAATGCCGTTCATTTTTCAAAATTATTTCACATTTAAGGATAAAAAAGGACTTTCGTTTTTGTAAAATTTCTACCCGAGCTTCAAAAATTGAAATTTTACTTGTCTGAGCTCAATATTTATAGGAGATCAATACAAAAGAATAACTTGGTTTCTGGGAGGTATTTTGAGAAAATTCTTGGCTCAAAAAGACGAATTTTTTGTGAGTGTTTCGAAAAAAATCATTTGGTAATGTAGTGGTGCATCCCAGCAAGTCAAGATAAGCGTTGTATTTGAATTGATTCATTTAATGTAATCCCAATATATTTATATTAGCACGCACATTTTCATTTTCTGGTGAATTAATCAAGTCTTTTTACTTTATGCCGTTTTATTATAGACTATTTCATTCAGCGCTTGGTGCATAAAATTGTGCGAAGATTGCAACAATGCTCTGTGTATTCATCCTTTTATTAGCGAGGAAAACTTGGATTTCGTTGCAGTGGAACAATAACTAACAGCATCAATAGAATTACACTGATTGAAGTTGAAGAAACCGCATTTTATTGCTTTAGTTGTTCGTAAAGTCCTACACTGCCTCGGTTCCCTCGTCTCGTGGGTTTTTATTGCTTCCTGGGGCTCCTGGGGCTCCATTGCATGAATGGACAAGTCCAGGGCAATGTGCAGTTGCTTGTTAGTTCACTCAGATTCACAGGGTTGTCAAAGAAATGCTCACCTGATTACAATGGAAGTGATTCATCCGCCGAAAGGTCAATGTTTCTTCAAATCTTTCATCAGCACCAACACGTCACCCCACCGCCTGCTTTGTCTGATTTCCGAGCCTGATAACGAGACACCAGACCAACAAAAAAAAACCGTGTGTATTCAGTATTTTATGATGTTTTTTTTCGGAAGTGAAATCACGCGACTTCAGCCAGCGAACGAATTAGAAGAAAAAATGGTCGTATGCAATTTTTTTCGAAAATCAGGGGTGACTTCATCTACGGAACGAATTTGAACGAGTCTCCAAAACTCGAAGAATCAATCGTCAAGTCAACTTTATAGTTCAAAAATTGTGATAATTTTGCTACCATGAAAAATAATTCCCAGCAGGACATTTTCGAGGAAATCCGAATCATTTTCGTTGACTCAAAATTAAACTTCGAATCGCTTTGGATCGTCGAAGCCCGTGATGATTCGGACACTGTCGCACAAATCCACATTATTTCATCTGTGAAATTTGGAAGATTCTGGCTAAAAGGTTTTTTTTTACATTTTTTTAGCAATGACCATTCAAGTTATTTCATGGCGATAATCTATTGTTTGCGATTATTACCTGATGTTCGGACAGATCAGTACTATGCAAGTCTGCATGCGTCTATACATGTATGCATATTATCGGAACAAAAACTAGGAAACACTGAATTATTCGAAGCAAATATGCGAAGTTCCATCTGCACAACTTCGCAACCCTGAAGCAAACGAACTGAAATCCTTTCTATTTTTCTATTTAAAAAAAATAATAATGGAATTAAATTGACCAATTGGACCCCATTATTCATCGATAGTAAGGTTTATGAGCCTTTTTTTTATCGCGATGATCATTTTTCTCTTGGTTTATTATGCATTCTATTTCTATCCACGTCCTTCTTTCTTACTATGAGATTCTGAAACGAACACGAGGCTTTATTTTTTTTACTGAGCTGGCTTAGAATTTAAGCGGATCAGTGATGCTGAGGTCCTGCATAATGCATAAAATATTAACTCTTTTATTGTCGAGGATAGTGGGATAGAATTATTATTAAAATGTCACCCAGCAGAAGCTCTTTTGGTTTTTTTTTATCCCAGCGAGCAGTTTGGATGACTGCCTTATTTGGCGAGGAAAAGCTTTTGAGGGTGTACTTACATTCATTTTAGTACTGCTGAGTGCTAAGAAATATCCGCGTAGAACATTGGAAAACATTTCTGGTGATTTTGATTAATTAAATAAATCTTATATATATATATATATATATATATGACCAGATACAGATGACCAGATTATATTCATGAGTAATTAGTTGTACGAAAATATAACATATGTTTTATTTTTCGTACAACTAATTACTCATGAATATAATCTGGTCATCTGTACCATGAAGTGACGTGGAAAAAAGTTCACATTCATTTGAAACTAAGGTAAGTCCAAGACAATAAGACTCGCTCCTTTTAATTACACGTTCCATTGTTTCTTGAGTATAGTATGGCGTGAAATGCCCTCCGGAAGAGAAGGTGTAAACACCACTTATGGATTTTGTCGTACAGTACATTCTAAGTATCAACGAAGTTATGAAACAATTCTTACCCTAGTCGTCCCCTTCGATTTTTTTTCTGCCATATATCGGTAAAAATTTTCATTACTTTGTTTGAGAATCATTTTTCCGCGTGAAAGGTTTTCCATCTTTGCATTTTAAAATTTTTATTATTAATTAATTCGGTTTTCAAAACTTGGATATTGGCGCGACATAATTTGATTATACAACGGAAATGTGCCGGGGAGATTTTTTTTAAATGTTAAAAATTCCGTCAAGATCACTGTTGATTTTTTTTAGCGCACGTATTTTTCCATTGGATAAAATCTGATGGTCGATCAGCTGAGTATTTACGCAGGCATTATTCGTCTGGGTAATTTTTTCAAAACTGTTCGATAATATCAAAAAGCTCGAGAGATGATTCCTGATTTAGCATTGAAAAACTAGATTCCAGGAAGTTCTCGAAGAAGTGTGGAAAATAATGCTAAAATTAGCATCTATAATTCTCCTCGTGCCCAACGAGGCACCCATTTGAATTTGAAGCACCCAACTCTGAATGACAAATAATACAATGAAAAAACGATACCGTCACTGATAAATCATTCTCTTAAATTTCGAAATGCGGGGAAACCAGTGAATAATTGCGGTTGCCGTTGACAAGTCCCAGAAAACTCTGTCGAGTCATTTTATAATTTATCTAAGTTGAAATGAATCTCTTGCCCCAGGGATCCACGAACTGGCACCATTAAACCCTAGCCAGAAGCCATCCGGTTGTCTTGAAGACTTCCTTGATGGTCATCATGACGGAGTATATATATAGGGGAAGAATTTCAATTCATCAAAAAAGGTTTTCTTTTCCATATACAGTATGTCAGTCGCTGACTGGTGGAAATATTCCACTTCTCTTTATTTATTTTTTCTCTTCTCCGTTTTCAGGCTTGGTGAGCTTTATATTTTTATTTTATTTACAAATAAGTCGTCCGTTCCGTCAGTCAGTCAGTCAGTCAGGGAAATGAGGACCACGATGAGTCAGATTGCGTCCCTCATCGCGGTGATCGTGACCATATGGGCAGCGTTCATCTCAGCTGCGCCCACGAAGTCCAACGAGGAAGAAGAATCCCTGAAGCTGGTCAACATATTCTCGTCCAAGCTGCACCAGCAGCAGCAGCAGGAACCACACCAACAAAAACAACAGCAGCAGCAGCAGCAGCAACAGAGGGAGGACGTGGCATCAGGTGCCACGTCAGGCAGCACGTTGTGTTCCCACAACACGTGTTGCGATGCGAGTTTCATGGCGGCGCCGTGTTGCTACTTGGCGCAAAACCAGGTGTGTTGCGGGTGCTGGGCGGGGAGGGCGAACCGGCACAGCGACCCCGTGGTCGTGATTGCGCCACAAGAGGGCCTCAATGGACACTCGGCCGTGGTGCTGCACACGAGCAATAGTTTCCCGTTGGCAGCTGCCATGTCTCGGGTGCAGGACGAGCAGCTGCAGGAAAATGGCAACGGACTGGATTTGCAGTCGGGGACGAGGGACCATCAGCAGCAGCAGGCTGCCCCGTTGGCCTTCTTGTCCTGGCTGGTCAATACGGCCAGGAACAGGCAAGGATGTCTTTTCAATATTGGCAATAAGAGGGATGAATTGCAATTTAGACTTGCTAAAGCACCATATATTCCATACTTTCTTTCTTTTTATATTTCTTTTTTTTGTCATAAGCCCCATCATTGGCTGTTTTGTCCTGACTTGGCAAAATAAGGCCAGGAACAGGCAAGGATTTCTTTTCCATTGGCAAGAGGAATGATTTGCAGTCTAGACAAGTAAAAGCACCTTATATTCTCTCCTTTCTTTCTTTTTAAATTTTTTTCATAAGCCCCATTTGACTTCTTGTCCTGGCTGGTCAAAATAAGGCCAGGAACAGGCAAGGATGTCTTTTCAATATTGGCAATAAGAGGGACGAATTGCAATTTAGACTGGCTACTAAAGCACCTTATATTCTATAATTTCTTTCTTTTTATATTTTTTTGTCATAAGCCACATTGGCCTACTTGTCCTGGCTGGTCAAAATAAGGCCAGAAACAGGCAAGGATTTCTTTCCAATTGGAAAGAGGGATGATTTGCAATCTAGACAAGCAAAAACACCTTATATTCTCTCCTTTCTTTCTTTTCAAAATTTTTTCATGAGCCCCATATTGGACTTCTTGTCCTGACTGGTCAAAATAATAAGGCCAGGAACAGGCAAGGTTTTCTTTTCAATTGGCAAGAGGGATGATTTTCAATTTAGACTGGTTAAAACACCCTCTTCCCTCTTTTCTTTGTTTTCCATGGACTTCTTGTCATGGCTGGTCAATACGGCCAGGAAAAGGCACAATAAGGATGTACCGGTATTTTCAATTGACTCAGACAGATGATTTGAAATTTAGACTGGCTAACATCCTTGTTCTCTCCTTGGTTTCTTTTTATATATTTTTTTAAGAAGAGAAGAGAGTCATAATCGTCATTAGAAGAGTATATCTGAAAATATCTGGCTCCCTGATGTTACCATAGATCAATAAGGTTAGGATATAGAACAGCAGCTTGGTTTGGTCATTTGCTTCTATTTAACCTTGCTCAAACGTTTTTTATTTGTGTGACAATTTTTGGCTTTCACATCTTCAAAAAAGGAACCTAAACTGCTTCGAGGTTGTGTTTTGAAACTAAATTGGGAAGTGGTGTTCATCATCCACATCAGAAGAGTATCTGAAAATATCTGGCTCCCTGATGTTACAATAGATCAAGGTTAAGATATAAAACAGCAGCTTTGTTTGGTCATTTTCTTCTATTTAACCTTGCTCAAACGTTTTTTATTTGTCACATCAGAAGAGTATCTGAAAATATCTGGCTCCCTGATGTTACAATAGATCAAGGTTAAGATATAAAACACGTCGAAACAAACCAGTAAAAGAAGATAAATTGGAACGAGTTTGCAAAAAATAAACACACTGTTAAAAACCGAAAGTGTAGAAGTTTTTTCCTTGGATTTGACGAAGCTCCAACACAAAACTTTGATAATTGGGAAGTGGTGTTTTAAAGCTAGTGTAGAGATTTGTTGTATTACTGTATTCCGAATTTCATTTTCAATACCTGAATCGGAAAAAAGAATATTTCCTCTTCAATTTTTTTTAGAAAGGGACAATTTTTTTCGTTTATCTTGATTTTACATCCACCCGATTTTAAGCGAATAAAAGTTCAAGCAAAAACATATTTTATTGACCACCTTGTTTACATATCAGAATAACGTGGAATGGATTCAAAAGCCTTCAGCACATCCAGTGGTTTGAAGATCTTAAAATTACTCTATATATAGACCATAAAATTATAAATGGATGACATGGTGGGAATTAAGCCAAAAGTAATAAATCAGTAATTGATCTTCATGATAGTACTGTAAGCGTGAAACAACCCCGAAAACTTTCCAGAATAATATTTCGTGAGACTCAAAGTGCGATAAATCTTTCCCGAAGATGCAGAGAATATCATGCAAATTAAAAAAGAGAATCGATCCATGTAAATATGGTTACATATTGGGGAGAATAGAGACTTAAATTTTAAGTTATACCTGTAAAATTTACGCTCACAGGCGAACATTTTGCAAGTTGTAAGTCATGTGTCTGAAAACCCCCGATTTCAGAGTAGTGATTTTCTTTTTTTGCAATAATTTGATGATAGAGCATTCAATATTCTCAATTTTTATATGCAAAATTCTTCTGAAATAAAACAAGAAAACGAAATCCAGCGACTGATTAGGACAATGCAGGGATTCACTGATATATATAAAGCTATTTTTTTTCAGCTGGAATGATTGATTCTACTCAGTTTTTGTGGGCTGTCATCTTTCACAAAATATTCCTATATAGTTAATGATTGGCACACAGCTGGGCCTACTCATAGAAATCACTAAGTAGTTATACTTATTGCTGATTATTTTTCCCCTCGCACGGATGGGTTCGAAATAACTCCGAGAATCGAAGAACTGGAATTCGAGGGCAATTGACAGGTTCGTACTCCCATAAATAACGGCACCGAGAAATAACCCTCTATTCAAAGGAGAATCATTCACATTCCATTCCGAAAAAGTATATATATGACTCTTATATAGGCAGCAATCGAGATTCCAAGACCACGATCAAGTTTTACGAGCATGAGCTGAACATTTAAATTATAATTAAAAAGCCAAAATTGAAATCCTTAGGCTCTTCAGAATGCAGTTTTAATTTTTTTTTTTTATACTTCAAGCGTTGGAAGAACGTATATAGGTTCTCTTGATGCTTTAGACACCGGGGTATCTTTTGTGATGTAAAATGGTTCGAGGAAGACAAACTTTCAAAAAAAACTCGTAAGGCGTACAGTATTTCATTGCAGGTCAGGAAAATTCCAAAAATATTCTGGTCACTTTTTTTGCGTTTCTGTGTTTTTTTTTCCAAAAGCAATTACCGAGAAAAATCTCGGCTTACTTATTTTCAAAGCCCACAGAAACCGGTTCTTCCGAACATTGCGTGTAATTTAGAATCCCAAAAAAAGTCTCCCTGCAGCCCTTTCCTTGTTCCAATGAACCTCATAATAACAATGTCTCGTTATTTCTAACGGGAAGAAATTGGGAACTTGTTTCAATGTTGTTTTTTTTGGGCGAAATTATTCAAAAGCAGGGTTTATTCATAAATTAGCGGAATATTAAGCACGGTTTTCTTTGGCCGGGCATGAACGAAAAATTCCGCGATTTTGTCAGGATAAGCAGAAAATGTTTTCATTTGTGTGTTTTAAATTACATTTTCAGAGGGGATAGTTTCAAGCAGAACCTTTTTAGCAACTCTCGTGAATTGTAAAAAGTTTTCGAAACGTCTCGAAATTCTGGAGGATTTCGAGACTTTATGAGTGAGTTTCGTATCACATTCGTTAGCCAGAAATGGACGGAAAACTTTTCGCGAATTTCTAAACTCTCAAAACTTTTTCGTCGCGTTTTATTCTTTCGGAGAACCTTTCACCCGAGAAAGGACTCGTCTAAACTAGTTGCAACCACTTATTGCTTTTAAAAAATTACTAAATATATTTTTAGAAGTCGGCGATGAGTAATTGTTTCTTCTGCATTTTTTCAAATTTCTCCTATTTCTTCTGACATTTTTGAATGGAAATTCAACGGAAGCTGCGAGTAGTAACCGAAAATAGATGAGCAGCTTTCGTTATTGATTGCATTCGGTTTAATCTGAACTGGTTTTTACGTCATTTTTACAACAAAGAAGAGCGAAGTATAAGAAATACTGTACTTTTGACGTNGTATAATGTGCTTCAAAAATATTCATTTTCGCAAGATAATACGAGGGTTGATTCATACGTTTTGAAACTTTTCAAAATAGATCCAATGGAGTTTCAACAATTCAAAAATTTTTGCTGTACTTCCATATATATAGCCTTATCATTTGGCAACACTTCAGTGCTGTTGAACCTACTCTCCTCCGATTTCTATGCATTTTTTCCTGTAATAAATCAAAAGGGTACGTAATCAACTAACAGAACTGGATTTTCGGCACGGTTGTAATCGTTGGATTGCATGAAAATATGCTCGGAAATCGGCGGAGAGTATGCATAACAGCACTGAATTTTTGGAAAGTGATGTGACTATGCGGATAGCATTTTTATTTTGAATTGTTGAAAGTCTGTTGGATCTAATTAAAAAAAAAGTCTCAAAATTTATGAACCAACTCTCGTATTTGATGCTGTGCTTCAACTCTTGCTTGTTCGTGTGTTGAGGATAGAGACAAAGCGCAAAGTTAATTGGCTGAAATTTTAAAAATAAAATGTATGAAAATATGTATTCCTGCATACATAAACAATTTATTCATAAGCAACTCGAGAAATATTGTTTGCCACTTGAATTTGAATTAGTGAATACATTTTCAACTCAAAAAGAAAATTTGGAGCATTGAATAGTGTATCTCTGTGCTGTACACTGACATTTTGGCATCTACAAAAATAACATTCAAGTGTAAAAAAAAGTAGAAGTCCATCTATGCTGGAGGTAATTTTTTTAAATTAGCTAAATGGATGGTAATTTGGTGAGAGAAATGCCAAAGAACTTTTCTTACATCAATTTTAGGGTTGGATATATCTGTTTCTCGTAATTTGGCCTGAAATGTATTTGCAATTTTATAATAAAATGTCCCTATGTCGAGTCAGTGTCCTCATTTTGGGCCTTATTTATTGATTTTTTCTGGGAAAATAAGTGTCCCTATGCCAAATTGTCCGCAGGTCAAGGTGTCCGCATGTGTGGGTCTCACTGTATATGTACAAGGGTTGGTTCATAATTTTTGATACATTCGGAATAAGATCCAACGGAGTTTCAGCAATTTGAATGTTTTTTTCTGTGTTCCCATCGCCCCATTATTATATTCAAAAGCACTTCAGTGCTTTTCAAAATACCCCCTCGGCCGATTTCAATTCCCCTTTTTTTATGTGATAAATCCAACAATCAAAACAGCGCCAAAAAAAATAGTTCGGTTATATGTTGATCTAGCTGCTTATCTTGACGGCAAAAATGAGGCTGTCGGTTTCCTCAATATATTTCAAGCCGTTCTTTAT